TTCTTCATCTGAGCCGACGATATTCGAGATACTAATGGCATTTTTACGTTACGGGTATCATCATAAGAAACAATACTTGGTGAATACATTTTATATGAAATCGATCATCGTTTTGCTAAACGATCACGACGTCATATTGTTGTTGGCAACGCTTGATTAGTTGAGTCAACTCACAATAACGTACACCTAGAAGACTAATTTTAAGCCCAATTACTTAAAACTAATGCTATTAATAAGAATAATAAAAATCATTGTTGACACTTCTTTAAACCTTGATATTAGCATAGCAACTGAATATTTGTAATACTAAGTTCATAGTCAATGCAGGGAGAGATTAACAGGGGCGCGTATTACAAACCTCCCAAACGTAGCGAACCGGTCATCAACGAATATTATCGACAGCGAGTTTGATTTTTGGGCGCAAAAACCCTGATTGGATATTACAAACCCCCATCAGGAATGGTAATACATATTAAATTTTCGAAATGAAAGTTTCACGTTACAAAAACATCCTACAAAAGGTTGGTTTTTTAATACACAAGTACAAGCTGAGATTTTTTACAAAAGTAGCCTTAGAGAAGATGGAAATAGCTTGCTCATTACGGGACAAATAACCAAAATTTTTAAATACCGATATCAATCCAAACGTTTTTCACACTCTCACTTCCCCCTTAGTGCCAAGAAACTAAAAAAATGGTACACGTGTGCTGTGTAAATAATTAAAATGCAGAGTTCTTTGAAGATTACTCATGCAAAAAGAAATAGGCACGAAGCGATAGCTTCTTTAATCTTCGACCATAGTCTGTGGCTAACTGATGGGATCCTCTCTAAGGTTGCTTTGAAACTATTCATATAAAAAAGTGAAGAAAATGTTATGAGACGTATGTAAACATATTAAACAAACAAAAAAATGCTTTTTTTCCAAAAAAAAAAAAAAAATTTATCAAATAACAATTTTAGGGGAAAGCTACGAGGGAGTAAAAACGGAAGCGTGTTTTCAAATAAACGACTTATGGACGGTCATAAAAGCAGCTGAAGTTAAAGAAGAATCATCCACAAGACCTAAAAATTCCATATACTTCAAGTGCGGTGAAATTTAAATCTAGCGGGCCAGAAACTTATGAGTCAAAACTTAGGCCATATTGCAGCTAAGTGTTAAAGAAGGGGAAAAAAAGGATAAAGCAATGTTTAGTTTGTTTACAGGGGATGGCGTGAACAGAAATAATTGGATCTTTGACGCAAGTGCACACAACAGCTCAACAATACATGCAGAAGAGGTCGACACTGTTAAAGCGATGACAGACGTTGGCTCTAAAAACGAAGACGCCACTTTTAATCACGTACTGTGCGGGCCAGAACGATGCAATAACTTGTTTGCCGATTTCGAAAGTAATGAAAAGAAGCCATAAGGTTACATTCACAAACGAGGGACGTACGCTTGTTAAATGTAACTGCTATTGGTTGCCATGCCACACTTCCGTTTATGTATTAAATGTTTAAAAGCATTTCTGTACCACTTGAAAATTCAGTCCAAGGGTAAAACAAGTAAGAAAATTTTTATCCTGTGCTTAACGCAGTTTATGAATAATACGCAATAAACCTAAAATAAAACAAAGACTCTATAGGCGGGTCCTTTGACGATTTAGTCTATTTTCGATAACAACCAATAAGAACTTGTAATGCTTAAATTCGAATTCCATCTCATATTGCGATCGGCGGAATGTTTGTGGCCGGTAAGCACATCAGCAGGCAGACGCATTTAGGTGGATCGCAAAGGTTTTCACAAATAAATGGAATGTTGACATGCTATAATATTGAGTGGGGTTGCCCTTACGTGGTACTCTAGGTAGGTCCTTCGATCGATCGAGCCTACTTCTAATACTGAACTATGTGCAAGAATAAGCAATATTGTTGCCAACGTAGATGGTTGCACTTTTGCAGCCACGGGAATGTTTATCATAAACATTACACAGATATGCAGACTAACATACTTGAATCGACTCAGAATTCGACGCTGATCAAGAATATATACACTTTGTGATGCGTCGAAGGCGTCGTTCTGGGTGTTGCATACGCTTTGGTAAATGAATGTATCCACATTCTTAAATGGTGTAGTGTTTCCACAACAAGTTTTTTAGCAATTGGATGCAAAAGGAAGAACGTGGGTTTTTGGAAAACACGCACTTTTCAAATGACATCAACGAAATCTCAAGAATAATTCTCAATTATGGAACCGCGTAAGAAAGATTTGTACGCAGGTAACTTTGAAGGTGAAAGTAGGTTTAAAGATCATGTATCCACTCTTAAACTCTGAATTTCTAAAAGTGAATTGTGCAATTCCTATATACTGCTAAGTGGCTAAAATGCACTATTAATAAGTGCGTTTAGCATGTTAGTGTAATAATCAACGTCCATGTAACCATCCCACAAATCACGGGATAAATATTACCTTGTAAGTGGAGGCTTCCGTTTGGAAATTAGATCCTGTTCCAACAGGATGCACTAATATCCTGTTGGAACACTCATGATATTGAGGCAAACTTCTCCTGCTTTTACTGGAATATTTCTAAGTTTGCTCTTTTGAGGCGATTTCTTAAAAGTGGGCAAAGACGAAAATACCAATAATCGTGGAAAAATTTACCTTCGATGCACTTTAAGCTAAAAGTTTCTTTTTGAATGCAGACTGCCTAGCACAAGTTTATAAGATCAACTACTACTTTCAGCAGCTCGAAATTCTTTGTTGAATTTTATGTTGCCCCCATCTAACTTAAACGTGACGCCTGATCTTATAGAATTCGTCATTAGAAACCCCGATTCAATTCTCTAAAACTTGTGCTTGAATTTCTCGTTACTCCATTCAAATACTCTACGGATAATCTACATTGCTGAACAACCCGGCGGATGGCAATAAGGAACTGTACGTACTTTTAATATTTGGTCGAAATATGATTGCATACGAAGATTTCATTCTGCAACGAATTTACGAAGAAGATGTTCAGACACTTGAATATTTTATCGTTTATTACTTTATAAATTTCTATAAAAATTCGTGCCGTAAGTATACATACGTCTTATTTGAAATAAAATTTGTAGGATGCGAACAAAATCATCCGCAAATTAACAATTGAATTTAACATACTTAAAAGGTGGGTCAGCCATGTGTTGAGGGTATTTAAAGGAAAATCGCACACCGAGTACCAAAATTGCTATTAATTCATGGTAAAAGCAATTAAAAACCTTATGTCCCTTATTTAAATAGGAATAAGCTTTCCAATGCCGTTTTGCTGTTGCCGTTTCAGATGTACTTTCACAATAAAAAAAAATTCAAAGACCTTTAATCCAAAACCATTTCCATTTTTTTTAATGCATCGAATATTCGCTTAATCGAATTTATACAATGGAAACCAAGGATGGGTTTTTTCGAATCTCAATTAAATTACTTTTGTACCCATCACCAAAAAATAAAAAGATAGGTAAACCCATTTTGTCATAATGTTTACAATATCGAAAAGAAGCTTCATAGAAAGTAGGTACATTCTTGATCAGCGTGGAATTTTGAATAGGGTAAGTCATGTCTGTCCGTCTTTTTTGACTCTCTCGTTATCGCAAAAATGAACATATCGACTTTAAATCTGGTAGAAACATTAGAAGTTTCTGCACGCAGGTTGGTATTGAAAATGGGTCAAATTGATCGGAGAGCACGCCCGCAGTAAAGCATAAATTGAACGCAACTCCATTATTATTATGAAAGATAAAAAGCTGATGTTTTCCACATTTAGTTTACGGAGAACTCTAGTATTTATGAAAAAAAATGGAAATATCGGCCATACTTACATAAAACTAATTATATTTGATTAAATTTTCTTCTTTTCACTTTTTTGAGGTTTTATGCTTATTGATCATAAGGTAAACAAAATGCTTTAAATGCGTTAAAATGCATTTATTCTAAAATAGATACGGTGAGCATCCGGACGTGATGAATTAATCCTTCCTAACAATAGCTTTCAGTGAACTAAAATGTGGAAAATGAACTTTACACTATTCACATAAATAAAAGCATAGATTGTAACGGTGGGTATGCGAGATTCGCCCCCAGTCGAATGAAACTTTCTTACTTGTTTTTACTAGTTTAAATGTAGATGTTTTCTGATGGAGTGTGTTTGTGGGAATGAACATTGAAGAACTGAAACGCAAACGCTAAGTGAATTTTGGCTCTATGCATTGAGCTTTTAAATACAACATTGGCTTTATGAAAAAGTTGAACAATTGTGGGACTAGTATTAGTAATCGAAAATTACAACATTTGGAAGAAATTTAGATTGAATTTAAGTACTAGATTTATTAATATCAAACCTTTGCAGAATTAAAAATTACCTAGATTAAATATATCGGTAAATCAGTAAATCTGAATATTTGGTTATTGGAAGTTAGCATTCACAGAAATTCAAGTGGATCAATTCCAATCCTTGTATGTGACACCAATATCAACGATCTTGTAACGAAAAAAACAGTCCATTACGTAGTGACATCCGCCGTAATTAATTTATATTTAACACATTTATCTTGTGCTTTCTACTCTCCAAGTCCAACTTTATAGGGTCTTTGAAGCTTCGTTTTCCGTGGTGCAAATATTAGAACAAAATGAGTGAATCTTTCGATGGTAGATAATAAATAAAAAAATCCAAAGAAAAAATTTATCATAGAAGTTATAAGACTCCTTACCGTATTTTTAGACAACTGTGGTAACAAAAACAACAAGTTGTGAAAAAAGGAGATAAATGAGATGAAATAAAAAGGATTATTAAGCAAAGATAGCATTTGGGAGATAGTTGGAAAGTGCAAACAAGAGAAAGGCATTAATCAAGCAGTTGAATATTCAGCGTCGTGTGGTTGGAGAACATTTTCTTTCCCATGTATCACACTACATTACAATGCAGTAGCTTTCTAATTTTGTATGTAAAAACACTAGAAATTTGGAAGGGCTTCGTTGAGAAACAAACCTGGTGTTAACTCCGCTATATCAGTGTGTTGGTATGCGTCGGAAATAATATCATGTTTATTGGTGGCGTTGACAACGACTATACTATCGATTATATTGTGAAATGCTTTATTGCTATTACTGCTATTCGGCTGTTGATATTGAGGCTGCGACGATGTTAAATCGCCACCGGTCCAAGATGTGCACTTGACGGGTCGAAGGTTCACATTTAAAACAGGTATTTTGCTGGCAGAACCACTTGTCGCTGTTACAGTGGTGACATTGGAATAGAAATTAGCAGCGCCCTTTGTCGGATTGGAATCCGATATAGTATCGTTTTGAATGTCACCTGTTTTCGTGCAGGCTGTCGATAAATTATCCAAATTTATAACACCATTGCCATGTCCTGTGAGACTGGCGGCTGGTTTTTTGTTTAGGATCACATTCTTGTTATCACCAACATGTTCACTAGTTTGGGTTAGAACAGGTTGTTTGCTACGATCACCGTCTCTATGTTTTAAACTGTTTCCATTGCCGCCTTCATCACTGTCAATTGCATTTCGCGTGTTAGCGGTTTTTCGTGATTGATGTTGTGATTGCATTTTTGTAGGAGTCGCAGCGAAAGCATCGTAATAAATGGACTCCTCAGGATTCGAGTTTTCTAATAAAGCAAATACGAAATGGTAAACAACCATTTGTCTAGCAGACTAATAACGAGGCCTAAGATACGTGCTACCCACCATACTAAATACCTCTCATTAGGTATGAACTTTTAAATTCGTTTGTAAATGAAATTTCTAACATAATATATAAAAAAAGTGTATTGAAACGAATTGTAAGTTTTATGTGATCTTCAGCTGCCATGGGTACGGTCAGTATTAAAAGACACAGAAAATTTTTAGATTAAAAAGCTAATAGGACCCAATTTCATTTGAACAAAGTTGATCGGGTGTAATAATTTTTGTGATATTTCAAAAAGTTTCGTTGGAATGATATGATTTCTAATGTGACTTATATTTTATTTGTGAATTAAACATTTTTGCAGCAAAAAACGTAGAAAACAGCATCGGACACAATTGTTGCTTTCATTAAATATATGTAGAATTACACAATATGTACCAATATGTGCAATACCTACAATGCGCACGATTGTACACATTTGGGTGATTCACAAACTAAATAAGAGGCTTTAATTTTTTAATGGTGGGAGGCCACATAAGCTAAGTCTTTAATAAAACGATTGCCATTGAGAATTAAATACCTTTTTGTATCATACGTATTTCCAAACGGCCACTAACACAACCTTCATTTTGCATAGCCCCTTCTTTGCACAGAGAATTTGCCGCGTCACTACTCCGTACACCAAAGTTCGAGAGCTGCTGCTCTGCCGCTTGACATGTAGGAGAATTTACTGTTGGATCACATACACTTTTTTCTCTTACTTGTGCTATCCACAGCTGATGTTGGTTATCACCTTTGGTACTTGACGATTGCGGTACAATCACTTTAGATTCCACAGTTTTTATTTGTTCAGCATTTATAATTTCCGATAAAGCAACATTTGGCAGACTATTTCGATGTTTGTTTGCTATAAAATTTGCAGGCTTATTACTATGAGTTATGACTTTATTCTCTATTGCATGAGCATTACTGGAATTCGAAGAACCGTTTTTCAAGTCGTCAGTGGCAGCTGCGGTTGCAACAGTTCCTTTAGCGTCATCATGAGATATGGCCGCTTCAAAAAATACTTCCCTGACGCATACATTACGTGCTACATCCATACGATAAATCTTAAAAAGACCAACAACGTGAAAAACTTGACATTTAGACGTAAGATGATTTTTTCTTTTTAATTTTTGTTTCAAAAGTGCTCAAAAGAAACTCATACATACATATGCACACGCGTTTGGAGAATAGTCAGTACTGCATAAACTGAACGAACGTATGTATATTTTCATATTAGTAGTCTGTGTATTTGCAAGTAAATGCTTATGATCTTAACGTAATTGGTAGATTATTAATTTTTATCTAATAGTATTTAAACAAATATGCATGTAGTTACGAAAATAAAAAGATATGGTTTGCATATATAACGTTTGCATGTACACAAAGGCCAAGCATGCAGGTTAATACGACATAAAACAGCTTGACATTGATATCAGTCATTGGTTAATAATTATTGAGAGGACTGTATGAGTTGTGTTTTCAAAAATCTCGCTTACAATATTATCGAAGGCTGCTTGTTGAACAATGGGTGGTTTTAAATCTCTACGCAATACGTTACCCATAGCCGGCTCAGACCAACAATGCGGTATCGAGTTCCGAACCCGCTCATAGTTTTCAATACCCACAATATTCAGATTGTGCCTGTATCAGCAAGTTGGGTGTAATACAGTGAATAGATCAAAATTTGTTATTATTTTATTTTATTTTTGTTTTTGCTTAGTATCACCATTTATTTATATCTTTCACCATACCAATAAACGAAAAATAGAAAAAATTAAATAAGAAAAGAATCTTTTCTGATGTTCTAGTCCAGGTGGGACAGAAATTGATTCGCCTAAGAAAAGAGTTATTGTAATGCGCATGTGAGTGTCGTGGCTAAAATATACCAAAAAATGCGTTCTAATATTTGAATATATTCAAATCTATTAATTAATTGACGGTGATTCCACGGGCAGGAACAATAGAATTCCGCTGAATAGTAGATTTCGACATATACTATTTTAGAATGGAAAGGTTGAGGTATAGAGCGTTTATGAATTTAAATGTTTTAAGGTGCCATTTTCAAATAATTTTTGCAGTTTGCTATAAAAAATCGATTTACTTACAATCACTTTTAAAAGCTTTTTATGCCAAATATCAGTGAGAACACAATCATTTAAATAGTGAAAGATAAAAATTTCTAAATTCGGTTTACCCCGAATATAATCTGGTTTATTTTAATCAAGGGTTTTTCTTGTTACTGATTATTATATTTCTTACTTTTTTCGTTTTCCAGTTGAGATTTCATGAAGAGACGCATTTCTTGCGTGCTCTCCTTTGGGTTCGCTTGTGTTTCCGTTCTTAGAAGATTTAACGTTAGTACCTGGTTGTACAGGATGCTTAATTGGCGCCACTGCGAAATTGGGATGGGACTGCGAGATGAAATTTTGCTTCATATTGTGTACAGGACTCTACGGAAAACATACACATACACAAACAAATCAAGCGTACTAAACTGAGCATACCATGTGGTATCTTTGTATTCCTACATATCTAAATAATTACAAAACATGCATACACGTACACGCTCATTTTGCTTAAATCATATTTTTAAGCTTGTAGTAATCCACTTTAGCTAAGATAAATATATAAAGATTCGTCAGTTTATCCTATCAGTTTTATAATTGAGCATTTTTTACACTGAATGTTAATATATGTTTCCTATGGAGACTGGCATGACTTAGTTGGTTCTGACCATGAACGAAACGTGCTTATACTTTATGAGATCTTTCGCTGTATATTCATAAGCGTTACATGCGAAACCTTACTATTACCTTGCCTTCCTTACCTCGTTAGCCTTTTCTAAAACTCTTAATATGAAATCAACACTTGCTATAATTGAGAACATCCCACTCTAAATTTGACTTCGCAGTCTTCATCTTCTGCATGCTTTTTTTACTGTTCATATCCCCGCATGTTTATATTTTCGCGTCTCAAGTGGTTGCGAACTAACCAATCATACAAAAAATAATGATTCATTTATAATACATACGTTAAAAGATATGAGGCATTAAACATAGGATCACAATTACATCGCTACCCGTTTAAGAGTTAATACAAGGATGTTCAACCCGACACGGAAACATCAAGAGGAAATTCATGTATGAGTAGTACACAAACTTACAAAGTGATAGTTGTAATATAAAACTGTATTACGATAAAATAAGAACAATTGAACAACCCAGGCTACAATCGTTCTCTAATCAAAGAGAATTTTTCCATAATGGGCCAAATTTGTTCATTTACGATAAAACGGACAAATGGACAAAACATTTACATAGTCCAAGAATTATCTTCTTTGCTTTTAATTTTGAATAGCAAAAGCTTTCCTTGGCAGTTGTTACTGTATTGACTTTACCCGATTATTGTTGGTTAATATTTTCCAATGACGTTAACATTTGCTAATTTGAATAGATTAAGAACTTCTTCACATATAATATCTATGTGTTTTCCTAATGCTCCTTTCAACAGTTTCTTTAAAGTGCAAGACCATTATAAAATTTTCAAAAATTCAATTTTTTTTATTAATTTAATACCCCGAGCCCTCTACAATATGTGAACAACATTCAATCCCTTAAAAATCCAGCCGTTTCTCTAACGCTCCAAAAGGACTTCGTGTACCAAATACATCTCTGTTGGGAATTTGTTAATTTCTTGCTTATCAATTTTTAATTTATTTAGTACGTTAAGATGGGCTTTCAGTTTTGAAATCCATTTAAGAGCGTTTCCAACAGCAATACGTTAGCGTGACTCCATTAAGATGACGTTTGAATGGATATTGTAGTAAGAGCGATTTCGTTTAGCATTTATATCACCAATGTAAACACATAGATTTCTTATATGAATTTCTTAAGGAGGTTGGAAAATTATAAAATTTTGAAGGCATTGCCTCTTATTATACGTATAATCACTTGTTCTTGAATCTACGTTCCAAGTGTTTTCTTTTGGGTCAGGGAATAGAACGCCACATATAAATGCATCTCCCTCCAATGAGAGAGGTTTAATTAAACTTTTCACCTAGAGCTCCCAATTAATCGCATCCTAGAATTTATATTCATTTTTAAAAGAAAAGGCTTTACTCTACAAATTCTACATCGTTATGTGTAAATATCATAAATTACACACAAATTGCACACTGTCACGAAAACGGTAAGTTCTGATACGTTTTTATATATAACAAATGTTGCTTTTATTTGTTGTCTAGAGCTCCTACGCTCTGTTTCGGGATGGCGGTTACTGATTTCTTGATCTATATTGGTTTCATTTAATATTTTAAATTTACAGCCATCATTTAAGTGGCCATAAAATTGGTTATCGTGTTTACTTGTCACCGTTTTCGTTATTTTGTATCAAATTTCGCATTCCGAAGCAAAAGTCACGACAATAATATCGATTTTGCGCCAAAATAGGGTTGAAATATAAAAAAAACATAGCGTTAAAATATGCACCTAATTGGAAGTAAATTTTTCATATGTTATTTTAATATAATAATTCCTTTCTCTATTCCAAAATTTTAGCAATATGCAAGCTAATGATATTGATTAATGTATAATTAATTAAAAAGGTAATGTTTGTATCTGCCAACCTACCTTGGCTTACTTTCTACAAAATTGTATATAAATATTATACTATTTGTTTTACACTTACTATACGCATTTCTTGTATATTTTGCTTTAATTTTTTGAAATCTTCTTTTTATTCTGTTTTACTATACCCTATTATTGTAATAAAAATAGTTAATAACCTGTTGAAAAATAGACCATATATATATGACACCTTTTGTAGCTTCTGCATTTATGCTAAAACTTCAGAACACCAAAAAAGCGCAAAAAGATAAAAAGGCAGAAACTTATGATTGGTGATCTATCATCGATTGTGCATATAATGAGGAGGTCAGTTCCTATTGATTGACTGAGTTCAGTTGATATTTAGCAAGTAAAGAACTGCATTTAGTACTGACGTCGCAAATCTCTTCATTAGATTCAGTGAGTGAACACTTTGTTTCCTCCCCAGTAGATAGATTCATGCTGTCGCTATTGTGTCCTATCCTGTGTAATGTGTATGGTATGTATTTTTGTGGTCTCAAATACGAAGATAACTGCTGCAAAACTAACAAAGACTTAGAAAGTTATTGCACGTTGATAGGTATTTAAAATAGCTCAAATCAGGCGAAAAACACGCCTGTGACGTGAATAAATAAAAAACATCTTCGTTTTCAAAAGTAAAAAACATTTTGAGGCTTTCGCTCGTTATTTATAAACTGCACCATGTACGTCGGCAAAAACTTTCACGTATATTCTGTAGAGGATCTTACAGCAACTACACAAAAATGGAAGAAATCGTTCACGCCCACTTAAGATTATAATGTCGGAATATCATTTCTTAATTTTTATATAAGAACGGGTTGATAAACGTAGTAGATTCGAACACAGCTAAGTATTATTTATAATTTTATAATTTTGTTATTTAAGTTGTTTTACAATTCCATCTTAAATTGCGCGCTTGGTTTTCGACTAATTGCTTGAATTCATCGAAGTTATTTGTAATGTTGTCTCTCCCATTGATGAAGATTTTGCGTAAACAATCCCTAATGACGTGGGTGCAACTTCCATTAATCTTACATGTACGTAAGTTTTATTAGCTCTGTAGAGCGATAAACGACCGCGTTAAATAATAGCACGTCGTTTTCTAAACGTACCTTTGAAGCAGGTCGCAAAATTATCATTTCCTGGTTCAGATTTGATAATTTTGAGTGCAGCTAAAATGTACTTCCTCAGGTCACCTTTGTTTCCGTGCTTATACCATAATAAAATCGTGTGCGTAAAATCAGTAGCAATATTTTCTTGAAATTTACAATCATCGTTCGTGGAAATGAATTCGTGTTCAGTTTGCGAAATTGACACTAAATTGGTATAACGATGCATCTTTTAAGAATCCACTTTTTTAGAGTTAACTAGTATAATGAATTCTACGCATGCACAATTCTTAGATTTCTCCCACCTACATGGTCGGACACAACGGAACAAAATAAGCATTCGCAGAAAATACCTAATATATTTAAGCCCCAAACTTTTTATTCCTTCACTAGGCCTGTAAACATGCTGATGCTATCAGTCAGGTGGGAAAATGTATGTTTCATGTATTTTCTACACAAAGTTTTGGTTTCATGTGTATATATTTGGTAAAGTTTTTGAAAATTTTCAAAAACACTGTTTAATGACGTTTACAGAAAGAAATTTAGGTTATCAAACTCGAGAAGCTTTAATTTTTAAATTTTGAAGTTGGACCAATTTTGGATAGGAGAAAACAGAAGATTGACGTACAAATTTCAGAAATAGTGTAGTTATTGCGATTTCGTTACATTAGGAAAGCAGATATTATCGTTTCTAATATAATTACATTTTAATACTTTAAAGGTTCAAATGTTCAATAAGCACGACATTTTAAAAAATATTGAGATCGACTATCGTAACAATTTATAATTGCTTAATTTCTTTGAAAGCCTGTTTCTTGTTATTAACTAACGCATACACAACAAAAAACGAGTGGAAACATTACAGTCGGGCTAAGCCGAGTATTAAATACCCTACACCACATTCTCTAATAGAATTTTTGTCATCGTAAACAAAAGCTGTGACTTGTTTTATATGAATTTACTATTATGTAACTGTGTATTAAAAATTAGACCTTTCTGCAACTTTCCTTAAGAATGTTTGTACTCCAAAGATTCGAAAATTGTGGTACGTATTGAAAAGTCAGCATAGTCAATTTCTAACACTATTGATCAATTCTCATCGTAAAATATTAAAACTTAAACCTCTCTGCCCTAAAAAAAAAATTTCCGGCTCATATAACTGAAGATTCAAATAATGAATTTTTTTTTTTAAATTACTATTATGATGCGATTTTCGTCATGAAGCAGTGAAAGTTAGACTTTTGTGCCATATGAACTTTAGTTGTCGTTATATGAGAGGAGGTTCCAAAAATTTACCAAGCCGGTCCTCTGTTTTTATATGAATTTAGAATGCCGAAGTACTAATACTTAGTCACTTCTGTCCAAAAATTTTGAAAATTGTAATTTTTTCTGTACAATGACTTTTTAAAATATTGCGTTGTATGGGGAAACAAACCAGTGGGATCCAAACTATTTCCAATAGCGTTCGTTGTTGGTTCAAAACAAGTTGGTGTGCCAAATTTCATGAAATATATCCATGAACAGACATTATAGAAGAGACAGACGCGCGATTGGTATAATAAAAGGTTGTTCGATCTTAAGTGCTTCTGTGTACATATGTCCGCGCAAACTAGTAGCAGGGCCACAAGTAGTGTAGGGTGTAACGAAAAGCAAGAAAACACAAATCCAAATAAGAAATACATCATAATTCCGTGCAGACGGTGACATTGTTTAGGA